TATAGGAGTCTCAATACCTAAAAAATCACTAATTGAAAGCAAAAATATACCTTTCTTCCACCTTCTACCCAATCGTGTTGATTTCAAATGATGAATGGCTACGTTTCATGCATCAATATTGTTTTTTACATAATGAGCCTTGGGCAGCTTCAGCTCCGCTACTGTGTTCCAAAGGGAGCATGAACCTCTCATAGCCAGGAGATCTCAATACGAGTCCAATTGCTTTAGCAAGATTTTGGCTCCCCGAGACAAAATAATGGATAGACTAAAGAGGCCCCTCAATATTGTTCCCTAAAACCTAATAACTCCACACTAGAATGAGCTTGCTTGAACTCGAAACTTCGGGGCAAAGACTCATGCAACGTGTCAACTTGCATTGAGGTAGGCCAGTATCCAAAGGCACTAAAGCGTTGCTACCTACTAAAATGAGCTTCGTTGGACTTTTCCGAGTAACTAATCATTATCTTGCGTAACTTGTTTTCAGATCACCGTATGCCTTTCATGGGCTTGCAGGTGACAGTATTTTCCGAGGCATTAGCTAGCTTTGAAATATTCATAGATTTAATAATAAACTTCCACAAATTATATACTTGCTAGGCCCCGAATGGTTCTAAATACGAAGTGATCGACTTCTCGGGCGTGACAAGGATTCCCCCAGAGTGGGTTCGTTCCTCGGTTGGCTTGGCATCGGCGGCGCTCTTGGCATCACACCAAACCTCCAGGTGTCTCAACGCCATCCACGGGACCACCATTGCTCACTATCTAGCCCTAGGTCTTCCTAAATCCATTGCAAGAAATTTACTTTGGCCCACGGCGCCCTCACTTTTGGTGGCTGCATCTCAGCTGGAATGAGAAGAGAACCTCGTATCTCGGATGGCGGCCAACAGAAGGTCTTCTGAGATCATGATGTGAGATTCATCTCATTGACTCATCTAGATCTATGAACCACAAAGAAGCCAAAGCATAGACTTTGAGGGGTCTTGTTCCAAACGGAGCGATCCCTCGCTCGGCAACATACACTGGTCTATTAGTGGTAGGAAGAAAGTAGCGTATATCTCTGGATAGGTTCGCATAGCCGGTTGGACCTCTTTACATCATGATTTCCAGGTATTTCCTTTAAGGTCTATGATACTATATAGATAGTTTGCGAATGAGGAGCCACGCCACTTAAGATCTAGAATGAACTCTTCCTTGGACAGTGATTCTTCGCTCGAAAAGTACAGGTTTGTTTATTTTGGGATACGAAAGATAAACTTTTCAAATGATTGAGTAATTTGGGTATAAAATTGCTTGTGTCCTCGACCAATTTCGATTCCGGACCATAGCTCATTGTCAATCGAGAATCTCTCAACACTGCGCTATATTCTATCTCTCCAGGCTTCTTTTAGGAACAACTTGGTTGAACTTGGCTGCCAGCCACCACTCTATCTATCATGAAGATTCAAGGCTTCGTTGCAAGCGCGTTTCTCCTGCTTCTGTCGGCGACTGATGTCTTCGCCGCACCGGCCGAAGCAAATTCCCTCGAAGGTGTGTGTTCCGCAGAGAAAACAGCAACATTCACTGACCTATACAGCTCGGACTTCCCATTGCGATCGAAAGGATTGGAATTGCAAGAACTGGGACTGGAACAAGTGTGTCTGTAACGATAAACACTGCCAGAAGGATTTGAAATGCAAAAATTGGAACTGGGACAAGTGCATTTGCAACGACAAGCATTGTGACCGAAAGGATTGGAAGTGTAAGGACTGGGACTGGAATAAGTGTCTTTGCAACGACAAGCAGGTGTGCCACAAGGATCCTAAGTGCAACAATTGGGATTGGAACAAGTGCATTTGTAACGACAAGCATTGTGATCGAAAGGATTGGAAGTGTAAGGACTGGGACTGGAACAAGTGTCTTTGCAACGACAAGCAGGTGTGCCACAAGGATCCTAAGTGCAACAATTGGGATTGGAACAAGTGTGTCTGCAACGACAAGCATTGTGATCGAAAGGATTGGAAGTGTAAGGATTGGGACTGGAACAAGTGTGTCTGCAACGACAAGCATTGTGATCGAAAGGATTGGAAGTGTAAGGATTGGGACTGGAACAAGTGTGTCTGCAACGACAAGCATTGTGATCGAAAGGATTGGAAGTGTAAGCACTGGGACTGGAACAAGTGTGTCTGCAACGACAAGCCTTGCCAGAAGGATCCTAAGTGTAAGCACTGGGACTGGAACAAGTGTCTCTGCAACGACAAGCATTGTGATCGAAAGGATTGGAATTGTAAGGACTGGGACTGGAACAAGTGTCTTTGCAACGACAAGCCCTGCCAGAAGGATCCTAAGTGCAAGGATTGGGATTGGAACAAATGCGTTTGCAACGACAAGCCCTGCCAGAAGGAT